CTAATATTTTTAAGATACTAATATTCATCCTAAAAGTGCAATTTAATGGCTTCACTAAGTTAACTAGTTTAATTAGGCAAGATATTAATTAGGCAAATCATTTTATAATGATGGTCTGTTCTGTAGGCAATTGAAAAAAAAATGCTTATGGGAGCTAATAATATTGGCCTTAAAATGGTTTAAAATAATAATAACTGTTTTTATTCTAGCCAAAATAAAACAAATAAGACTTTCTCCAGCAGAAAGCCTCTCCACTGGTAAATCAGACCAAAGTGTTTTTTGCGATGAGCCAAGGATTTTATGGTGCATCACTATCGGTCACTAATAATAACAACAGCACGTCACGAGTCGGAGGTTACCCCGTCCTTCACACCTCACCATGTGCCACAGACATACCAGACTGTCAATTTAGCTTTGACTCATGTGCAAATCATTGATACTAAGGTTAAACTGAACACTTTGCCTAAACCTCCAATTCACCAGTTGACTGAAGAAAGTACTGGTGTCAGAATGAATAGACTAAGGCAAAATGACATGGATTACTGAGCAGCTTTCCAGTACATTATCTACACAAACAGGATGAGCCACAGAGGAGACGGTCATCTTGGCAACGTCATCCCACCTTGTTCAGATTAAGGGAAGTGAGGAATGACATGCCAGTGTGCCGAACAGTGCATCGTATTTTAGTTTTAAACACAGTTTATGCCATTTTGCATAGCACACGGCAAAGACTTCACAAGCCGAGAGGTTCCCTTGCCATTTAGAAGATGCTTGCTTTGTTGATCAATGGCAGGCTCTCTGATTAGGTGTGCTTTCCCACTGCTGAGGTCCAAGGCTACTGCTGACACTATAATAGAGATGGACCAATAATCGGTTTGACCGACATTACCACTTTCCCCTAATAGGTTATTGGTTCTCTATTATTGTGTCTAGCGATAAATTTCCCTCTAAAAACAAACAGCAAGCAAGACCACCTTCAAACACTGGGAAAACACACTAGTTTAAAAAAATGATAGCGTTAAAACTGAGAAAAATAAGAAATATTTACAGTTTCAATCCGAATTATTAAACCCCCTTTGATTTTTTTTCTTTTTTTTTAACATTTCCCGAATGATGTTTAACAGAGCAAGGAAATTTTCAAAGTATGTCTGATAATATTTCTTGTTCTGAAGAAAGTCTTATTTGTTTTATTTCGGCTAGAATAAAAGCAGTTTTAATTTTTTAAACACCATTTTAAGGTCAAAATTATTAGTCCATTTAAGCTTAATTTTATTCCGATAATCTACAGAACAAACCATCGTTATACAATAACTTGCCTAATTACCCTAAGCTGCCAGGTTAACCTAATTATCCTGGTTAAGCCTTTAAAAGAGTCTTGAAAAATATCTAGTAAAACACTATTTACTGTCATCATGAAAAAGAGAAAATAAATTAGAAATGAGTTGGTAAAACTTAGAAATGTATTGAAAAAATCTTCTCTCCGTTAAACGAAAATTGGGGAAAAAATAAACAGGGGCGAATAATACTTATTTTATGCGCACCCAATTCATTTATTCAATTATATTACAACTGCACAACTAAAACATCCAACTTTGATTATTCCAAATGTTTTATTTATTAGTATTAGGGCTGGCTGTGTGATTAATCGCAATTGATTAGCAAGTGCGAATTGAAATGCTGCGATTAGCTACTTGCAAAAGGCTGTGTTACAAAATATGTAATTTCTCCCGGCAAGAGCATATGCATGCATAATTTTATTTTTATTTTTTTGTATAATAAGCTACACTATCTCCCTAATTCGAGTTCAACCTGTTTACCGAAAGCTAAGGTTATTTTATTTTGTGTTTACTGTTTGCTTTTGAGAAAAATTTGTGTTTTATTTCTGAATATTTAAAAGCAAATTTGAATAAATGTTTAAGTAAGTTAATATCTTTTCAGTTCCCTTTGTTAAATAACACTCAAAGCATTTTAGCAGTAAGAAGCTACGATACAGTTTATTGAGCTGAAGCATGACTACAAAGTAAAAAAAAATAATAATAATAATAATAAAAAAATAAAATAAAACAAATAAATATTTTACACAAACCAAACAGTCCTAATTTTTATTATTACTTACAATAATAATAATTCTAATTATAATAGTGGTTGTTGTTAGTAATAGATTTAAATATCTAATAGGTAATTCCTGATTGGAAAAACTGTAGGGCATTGGAAATAATCTCCATTCTAACAAACTCTAAACTGTGCCAATGTCTATTATTTGTTCAGTACATGCTTGTAAAAACAGCTTCACGTTTGCAGACGACAAATTCCATCTTCGTCACATCATCAAAGCTAAAGTCAGGTGCACAGATGTGATGTGCACTGATGGCCACTCGCCTGACGCACAGACAGGCAAAGTCAATCTGGAATGGCATGTGTTTGGTCTAAGACGCTTACCTGATGGCAGGCAGCTTTGACAAGCACAGGCTCTATTTATAGTCAAAATGACACTATTTAGTGTCCCTCTCTAACAACCAAAAATAAATTTAAAAAAAGAATGCACTTTGTAGTAGAAGAGATTAACTACAATATTATATTTAGCAGCCATCCCATGGCATGATATCTACTTTACCAGAGAGGAGCTGCCAGTTATGTGGAAGAACAACTGGCCCGGGGCAAGACTTCAGTCCCATGATAACTAATTTATTTCAAGATGACTAGCAGTCTTGGAAGTCGTATACAAAGTGTGACACAGAGGGGCTTATCTTACTCCAAAAAAAAAAAAGACAGTTAGAAAAGACTGTGTATTAAAATAAATAAGCCAATGCTTGCAACGATAGACAATTAAACATGTTTTAATACATTCAGTATTTCAAGAAAATAATGATTTTTACTCCTAATTTTTAATACAGAAACACGAGATGATCATTATATTAATTTTTAATCATTAAAGCATTTGCATTAGAAATCATTATAGACATAATCACAAAGTTTTTAGGCGGTCAATTTGATAAATAATTACTGCATCACTTAAAATCAAAGTGTTGCAACTTAAAAGATTGATTAATTATGCAAACAATAGTGCTTGACAGGATTTTAAAAAAACAATGGCACCAATAATCATATCTATCTGCATACCTCTGATTATTAATAGCATCCTGTAGATATATTCATCTATTCTAAATCTCTGTTCATAGTTAAAACAACATGTATATAATATTCATAGTACATCCATCTGTAAATATCATCACAGCTTTTCTATAACTGAACTTTATAACTTATACCTGTATTCTGCACTTGCTGCTATTGCACTCCTGGTTAGAAAATTTAGACTTATAAATGCTTATTTTTTTTAGAATATCCCAGTTGGATTAAAAGATCCAGATTTTCACTTCACCTTTAAAAAAAATAAAAATAATAATAATAATAATAATAATAATAATAATAATAATAAATAAATAAATAAATAAATAAATAAATAAATAAATAAATAAATAAATAAATATATATATATATATATATATATATATATATATATATATATATATATATATATATATATATATATATATATATATATATATATATATATATATATATATATATATATATTATTATAACTTAAGTGATTAAAACTTAATAATGCAACAATAATAATTTAATAATAAAGAATATAGGTCAGGTCAGTATGCTCAGTAGTAAATAAACTGAGAATTTTTAAGCAAAGTAGTTAAATAAAAATGTTAAAAGTTTAATTGAGATTGGGATTGTTGGTGATTATATGGGTGTTAATGGCCAGAATGGGTAGCTATACATGAACAAAGAAAAATTAAGACCTTTTAAAAAAAGTTATTACAACACAATATTTCAGTGGATTTAAGACTTTTTAAGGCCTAAAACTTATCTTTTGAGTTAAGACAGTAACTTCTGAAGACCTTGCAGATACCCTAAATAAAGTTGAATCTAATTTAATAATATATGCAATAAATAGCCAATTCTAGATAAAAAATAATAAATGATACATGACTGGGCAGCAATGACATTGAAGTGGAGCTGGGAGGAAGCAAAAAGTAAAACAATGACAAGAACCTTGTGTACTCATGAGAGGCAATGGAAAAGTAGGTCAGAAATGCCTGTGGTGATGACAAGTCAATAAGATCAACAGTGAACTGTCAACCCCTTTCACACTTTGACGCTCAGCATAGATGTCAACTAGTATGACTTATCAACTTCTTTTTTAACTGAGAGCAAACTAAAACACATCATATAATGTTAATTGGCATTTAATTAAAAGCATGATATCGCTAACAAAAACATACAATTCTGTCATCGGTTACACACCCTCGTGTGGTTGGTTCAAAACCCGTATGACTTTATAGACAAAAGGGCATGTGAAGCAGGATGACAACATCGTTTACTATTCACTTTCTTTGTGTTGGAAGAGCTGAAAGTGAATGCTGACTGAGTTTGCCATCCTACCTCGCATGCTATCCCACATATCCCCAAAATAATGACAGAATGTTTATTTTTATGTAAGCTGTCGCTTCAAATTGAAGATGTTTTGTTTACAAACCAAACAAAAACAACATCTTCCATTGTCATCCCTCTAGGAACAATAACAAACGCTAAGAAACTTCGAAAGATTCAAAACAGCTGGATGAAAACTCCAAACAAAAGCCCCATCAGTGGTCCCCTTACCTCTCAAACACTGACACAAACAAGTCTGAAAGTGACTAACACAGAGGATTTAGAGCTCTTAATTCTTCCTCTTCGGACTCTTTTGGCTTTTTAAAAGCTCTGGGACATCTGTAGTAACATACAGAAGTGTTAAGTCTTTAAAAAATATAATTCCTGTATAGAAATATGCTGAAAATAACAACCGTCTGACAGCCGTAGCAAAGGGAGCTAGTCCGCTAGCAATACTGCCACACAAACAACTTAATTCGCTAAGAAAGACAGTCAGTAATACTTTAAAATACACTGTAAGAACTATATGTGGGTGTCTGGTATTTACTCACCTGCCTGTGTAAGCGGCGAGTGGGTGTCCTTCAAGAGTGTTTTTGTCGGAGCGGGTCTGCGGGTGCAGTGGACTGACTGACTGACTCGACCTGGCTGGATTTTCTGGATATCGTTGCGTTCTGATGTGACGCCCCTCGCGTGAGGGCAGAGCGGCCAACCAGAGTGAGCCGATGGGGTCACGTGATCGACTTGAGAGGCAACGGGTTTGACGGGATTTGTAGTCCGCGGGCGATTTGTTTGTGTGTTGAACGTTTTTAGTTTTGCTTAAAGTTTATTTAACTATCGTACAACTATTTTAAAAAGAAATGCCAGTGTTTATTTAAGCAGAAACCTTCAACAATTAACCATTGAATGTTACCATAACATGTTGTGGGTAAATATTGATAAGAAACACCATGTTGAGTAAATACTGTTTTGTAACAGTAACAAACAAATATGTCGCACAGTACCTTTAATGGTGGCGACCCTGCTGTCAAGGGCCTTTTATAAACTGTATTTCAAATACAAATAATTGGCATATACAGTGAAATCCTTATCAGTTATTAAGATATGCTATCAGTGTCAGTTGTGCAATGATGGAATGTAGCCTTACTTGATTTACTAATGATGTAATCTATGACAAAGGTTGCAGATCAAATGCACCATGATCTTCTTTTTAAATGATAGATAGATAGATAGATAGATAGATAGATAGATAGATAGATAGATAGATAGATAGATAGATAGATAGATAGATAGATAGATAGATAGATAGATAGATAGATAGATAGATAGATAGATAGATATTTTTAACATTTATTGGGTTATTTATTAATAACTGAACCAGTTGAGTTAAACAATGGTGCCTTGTTGGGATATTTTCAACCTTTATTAGGTTATTTATTTAATAACTCAACCAGTTGGGTTAAAATTTTTGAATTTCAACAGTCAACTGATTTAACTGACACAGAACTGTATTATTATACAAACGTAATGTGATGTTTAAGCTCTAGCGAATGCAATAATGTTGTTGTTTTTTATTAAATTACCTCTCCATGTTTTTCATATTCATTTCAGCAGCACTCTTAATTATTGATGATACAAACGTGCACTACATAGCTGATCTTTTAAACAGATTAAAACGCTTAAAGTGTCTTATACTTGAACTTAAAATGTAATGGAAATGAAGCATTTTCAATATTTTTATAAACTGTATGTATGTATGTTTGTGTGTGTTATATATGTTATGTATTTATATTATAAAATTAATAATAGTACTAGTAATAGTAGCAATACCAAAATCAAAAAAAAAAAAAGATTTATTCAAAATAACCCATAGTTGGGTGCTAAAAATCTATAGTTGGGTTATATGTTGGCGTATCTTTAACCCAAATATTTTAACAGAGTATAGATAAATGGACAGACAGAAAGACAGACAGATTGATTGATAGGTAGATTTGTATAATTAAATTAATTAAAAATGTAAAGATATCTAATTTATTACTAATCGTACGTTATTAATTAAAGTAGACACTTAAATTTAATAAAATGTAAAATACTTTTGCAACTTTTATACATTTAAAAATAAAAAAATCCAAATAAATAAGATGAATAAGACAATAAGTTTAAATGTTTTTGTCTAATGTCTAGGCCACAATCTACACTTAGCTGTGAATCAAATTTTCACATAAACCATATCAAGCTTAAGTAAATAATTTGTAGCAATCATGAAAGTAGAAGAAAAACGAGACTCTGCTCTCAGTACAGCGTCAGGATGTTTGTGTGGTATTCTTGGCCTATTTGGTGGTGAATTTCCAGTCTGAACCAGCTCATAGTGTGTCATCTAACCATAAAACCCAGATACCAAACAAGATATGAGATACCAAACAAGTGTAACATGTTCCTCGGTGCTCCATCCTGACATTAAAACAAGTCGATGGCCATTCAAATCATTAAAAAACTCACCTTTTTGCAACCCATGATGTTAGATAAGGGCGTGCAGACTGAACCCCACCTGTTAAAACTTCATGTCCCTGGTATTGAGCCAGAGCCGCTGGAAACTCTCAACCTGTATGTGGAAATGGAGTTTGTGCCAGGTCTAATTAAATAACAAAAGCAGTGAGCTGACCTGCTAATCACCTCTTATGAACTGATGTTAGCAGTGAAACTAGTCTTGACTAGTGAAAAAGAGGGTGTGAGCTGAAGTACAGGAATTTTAATTCAGATGTTTGTGTCTGGTGAGATTTAAAGAAAAGCAAGCGTCGCCCCACCCAACGACCCAGTTCAGCAACATAAACATAAAAAACGAGTCATTTATTAGTTAATATCAAAGTATTCATGAACCATACTATAGTAAAGTGTACTTCACTGTATATATTATTGTGTTTATAACGCTTTGGTAATCAATGCTACACCATATTGTATTAAAGGAATAGTTCACCCAAAAATGAACAACCCTTTACTCACCCTTTACTTGTTCCAAATGAGTTTCTTGAGTTTTGAAAGCTGAAAACCTGTAACCATTGACTTTTATAGTATTTGTTTTTGCTGCTATGGAGGTCAGTAGTGTTCAGCTTTCTTCAAAATATCTTTTGTGTTCAGCATAATAAAGTAAAATAACATTTTGGGTGAACTATCCCTTTTAAAATAGTGAAGTGATAAATACTGTAATTTAGACTACTTTAGTTTTTACTAGTAAACTGTGGTGTACATTAACATTTAGTCATTTAGCAGACGCTTTTATCCAAAGCGACTTACAAATGAGGACAAGGAAGCAATTTACACAACTATCAGAGCAACAATGAATAATTGCTATAGTGTATTGGAGTATACCCTATAGTTTTAGAAAACTTGATACAATCTTGGGAAATTAGTAAATATTTTACTATAATTATTTATTACCACAGCAAGAACTGCCACAAGCATTTTAGTATGGTTCACCAAAACTTTAGCACAGTGTTTCTCAACTACGTTCCTGAAGGACCACCGGCGCTGCACATTTTCCATGTCTCCTTAATCAAACACACCTGATTCAGATCATCAGCTCATTAGCAGAGACTGAAACACCTGTAACGAGTGTGACGGACAAAGATGACATCCGAAACATGCAGTGTCGGTGGTGCTGGTTGAGAAACACTGCTTTAGCATACTATACCTTACTATATATTATTTTTTAATGTGATACATTCATTAATTTAAAGGGGAATTTTGGAGTGATTTCCCAGTGATGGGTTGCATTTACTGTGTAAAGCATATGCTGGATAAGTTGGTGGTTCATTCTGCTGTGGCGACCCCGGATTCATAAAGGAACTAAGCCGAAAAGAAAATGAATGAATATTGGAGTGAGTGTAAAGGTTATATAGTTTAGTTTACAGCCTATTGATAATGTATGCTTGCATCAGTAGGAAAAGACATGAGCAGGATTATATGACTCATCTTCATATCACTATGCAATACATAACCTCGTGATGTTATATCTGATGGATTAAAGGCCCATTCAAAGAACTAGAACTACAAAGATAACTAACAATAAAGCTATCCTCAGCAACATACGATAACCTGCTGTTTATTATACGTCATCTGATTTTCTGAATATTAATGTACGTGTACCATGTTTTGTATGTAAATTAGAACTGTCTGGGATGCATAAAACAACATTTAAGTACACTGATTTCATCAAATGTAAAACTTCTCAATGATTATTGTATAGATCAGGGGTGTCTAAACTGTCCTGGAGGGCTGGTGTTCTGGAGAGGTTGGCTCCAACCTTAATCAAACGCATCTGAAGCAGGCAATCAAGCTCTTACCAGATATACTAGAAACGTCCTGGCAGGTGTGTTGAAGCAAGCTGGAGCTAAACTCTCCAGGACCGAGTTTGGACACCCCTGGTATATGAATGCAAATGTGTGCGAGTGCATAGGTGTCATTGTTAACTAATGACCATTTTTGTGGATCAATGTAAAAATGGGATTGTTTGGACAGCATTTGTCATTTGCATGTCAAAAACAAAGTCTAATGAAATAAAATAATTCATTGTGGCAAAATGATTCGATATTGCCCACTTAAACACTCTTAGTGCCCTCATAGTACACTTGACGTACACATAACAAAATCTGCTTAAATTTTCATGCCAGAATTCGAGCTGTTTATGCACAATTTCCATCACTGTATTTTAACAAATACAAAAAAGTAGGCTTTCTCCTATTTTAAATTGTGAAGATTTTGAGTTTCTGTTTAAAGGGTATTTCTGTGGTGGCTTGAAAAATGTAATAATGACAGTTTCTCCATAAAAGAGGAAGCTGTTGTAAAAAAAAAAAAAAAGCTGTCACTGAAAAAAATCCAGGACAGATTCATCCATGTACCAATATTCATTGATAGTCATAGCGCCACCTGCCAGGAAAAGAGAGTTATAACTCATGTGTAAATGACTCTGACAAATTCCTTATACACCACTTGACTAAAGTCTTGTCATCGTTACATTTAGTTTGGGGCGTGTAAGAGATCTGCAGAGTGGATGGCAACATCAACAGCCTGAGGTATCAAGACATTTGTGCAGCCCATTACATTACAAACCAAAGGAGAGAGCAAATTCTGCAGCAGGATAGTGCTCCTTCTCATTCTTCAGCCTCCACATCAAAGCTCCTGAAAGCAAAAAAGGTGCTCCAGGATTGGCCAGCCCAGTCACCAGATATGAACATTATTGAGCATATCTGGGGTAAGATGAATGAGGAGGCATTGAAGATGAATCCAAAGAGTCTTGATGAACTCTGGGAGTCCTGCAAGAACGCTTTCTTTGCCATTCCAGATGACTTTATTAATAAGTGATTTGAGTCGTTGCAGAGATGTATGGATGCAGTCCTCCAAGCTCATGGGAGTCATACACAATATTCATTCTGTTTCCACTGCAGCATGACTTTATATTCTATACTGTACACTATTTCTGTTCAGTGCTTTTTTCTAATCAAAGTCAGACCTTACTGTCCTAATTAAATCATTAAAAATCAAGGCATGATCATATTATATTTTGGTAAAGAAAAGCGTAATCTAAAGGCCGTTTCCTTTCATATAAGCCACTTCTGATACCAAATGATCATCTAGAAGTCAAGTTATTATTTGTTGTTTCTAAAACTTGAATAGACGACAAGACTTTAGTCAGGTAGTGTATGTACGTAAAATAAAACGTCACATTTTTTGAAAACATTATTGTGTGCATCCCATCATTCTTGCAGTGAACAGGCCTGAAGTCATTCCACAGAGCAAACAGAACAAATTCAACAAAGTAAAGCAGCTGAGCGGATAATAATAATCACTATTCATATATTTTTTTAATATTACTGGTTTGAATGAGGTGGGAATACACACAACAAGCATATGATCACAGGGCAGCAAAAATAAAACGTTTTTTTCTCTCTTTTTTTTTTTTGGAGTGAAATGGTAAGTGTTATCTGCATATATGACGGACTGTTATATATTTACAAGTGTAGTTTTCCTCCAAAGCATTCAGGAATGAACAAAAGAGCTCATTGTTTTGTTCTGACGATGGCAGAGTTCCGCTCTGATCACTCATTCCATCCAGTGGCCAGTAATAGTGTCTCTGCTAGCATATAAATCCCCAGTAAAAAGCTTCTTTTTATCAAAAAATAATAATCAGAACAATACATATGATGTATAAAATGAGAAGCAATTAATAAAATATAATCTGAACCACTAGTATTTGGTTACTATAATAGTTTTGCAGTCCTTATCACGTAGCCTTGACTCCCATCCCCCCGATATTTTTTTTGTTACCAGACACACTTTCATAACCATAAGGCTTTGAACAGTTTTAACACAAAAAAAAGAAAAAAAATGTGACAGAACAAACAATATTCTCGGTTCTAGACTGATTTCAAGATGCACTCTTAAAAATAAAGGTTCTTGAAGAAACAGTTCACCCAAAAATGAAAATTTCTCAATCAATTACTCACCCTTGACTTGTTCCAAACTAGTTTGAGTTTTTTTTGTTCTGTTGAATACAAGTGAAGATATTTTGAAGAATGTTGGAAACCTGTAACCATTGGCTTCCCTACTACAGATGTCAACAGTTACAGGTTTCCAACAAGAAAGGAACTCAAACAGGTTTGCAGTGGTGTAAAGCAGCTACAAATACTCAAACGACTGTAGTAGTTTTTCTCAGGAATTGTACTTTACTAAGTAGTTTTAAAAATGTCTACCTTTACTTTATAGTGCTGTGTTGGTACTTTTACTCCACTACTTTCCTTCAACCTGCAGTCACTACTTTATCTTTTCTTGTCAATGGGAATTAGAACAATCAGTCCTGTGCTTCCTGTCCAATCAAATCGCAGAAGGTAAATCTCATCATAACGAACCACCTCAAGACATGTGCGCTTTATACATTTAGCAAACTATTTGGAAGCATTAAAAGTGTCCCAAGAAGACGTCCAAAATCTTTACATGCATTGACCCAGAGACTGTTAGATGCATGTCACTGATGAAAGGATGACAGATGTTTACTGTATGATGACCGAAATAGCCTTAAACACTCAGCAGGCACAAGACGTCAACATGACGTCAGATTGACATTGTACCACAACGTCGAGGGGACATTGCATTTTGTTTGGAAATGAAAATAGGGTTGACATCAAAACCCAATGTCAGTCCGTCGTCAATGTCCAACATCCAAATTAAAATCAACCAAATATCAACGTCTAATGATGTGACATTGTGGGCATGTTACCACTATGACGTCTATCAGACGTTGGATTTTGGTTGCCATACCTGACGAATAAATGTCAGTTCTTGACGTCAATTTAAGATGTTGGCTTGATGTTGGATTTTGGTCACTTTCTAACACAACCTAAAATCAACCAAATATCAACATCATTTGACATCATTATTGGACATCAAAATATTGTCCTTAGACGCTGACATCACAACCTAAATCTAACCTAATATTAACTTCTTATGACATTGTGTGTCTGCTGGGAAATAACCAAATGCACTTCAGAATGTTACGTTTACACACATCCACAAATTACATGTAAATGCATCAGCTTTTTACAGAGTAATACTCACTATTCACTACTCTTGAGTACTTTTGAAAGGTCATCCTTTGTGTAATATTTACTTGCACAACATTTTTAGGAAAGTAATGGTACTTTTACTTAGGTATGATTTTTCAGTACTCTTTCCACCACTGCAGGTTTGTAACATGTTGTAACACAACGACAGACTTTTAATTTTTTGGGTGAACTGTCCCTTTAGTTGGCGATCACTGGTTCTATGAAGAACTTTTAACATCCACACAACCTTTTCATTCCACACAAGCTTTTTTTTTTTAAATGGAAAATGTTAAAAATGTCTTCACACTAAGAAATAGATCATTCTATAGAACTGCAAAAACCCTCTGTTGGAACCTATATATTTAAGAGCGTCTATACGAAAGACCCTGAAATGCATCACTTTCACCACATGAAGGATAATGGAAGGATTTTTAGTGTGTGCAAAAGTGTTGGACTCAGCATTCCTGCTTTCATCTTTCACACGTCTCTCCAGGAGGAAACGCTCGTGCGACGGGTAAACAGGCAGCATTCTGTTCTGGCCATATCTCTGAGATCATTATGACCTCACAGAACGCAGCGTCCGAGAATTCCGCATTCCGAAAGTTCTTAAGAGCTCTGACATCAGCAAGGTGGAGTGTGTGTGTGTGTTTATGAATTGGAAGGCAATGGGTGGGTGATGCGCCCTTGATGTTCCCCATCCTATTTCTGCGCCTTTTCCTCGAGTCTCTAAAGAGTTTCTTGTAGCACAAGTCAAGAGTTCCTTCCTCTCTTTATGAGAGAAACACAGCTTGAGCCGGAATGCATCACACCGGTGCCTCCTTTTTCATCAATGACGTCCAACGTGGATCCTCAGGTCATTAAATTACTATCAACGGCACACGTACACTTATTTATATACTTATTTTAATTTGTTGCTATTTAATATATCATTTTTACATTTAATTATCTCTAAGTTGCCCCTCTGGGTCCGTTAAGGGTCCCGTTTCTTCTCCTGCTTAATTGCTCAGTGCGTCTGTCCCCCAGTTCTCACGTCTGCTACTTGCACACAAACTGGTCTACGAGTGACGTGCAGCGTTTGCACTTGACATAGCAGCACCAGTGGAACTTGCAGTGGCAGCGCTCATGTTTGTAGGTCTTGAACTGGTCGTACCCGCGGCCGCAGCACATGAGCTCGCAGCCGTCCATACCCTCCGAGGTCTTGTTGCATAGGCGGCCTTGGGTGCCCAGAGACCCAGTGGTTTCATTGCGCAGGCAGTAATCCGGGCTGGGGTCGATGTAGACCAGATCTTCACCTGTCGGTGGGTTGAATCGATTATTGACCAGCTCTAGTTTTCCACGTCGGTTAATGCGCATGGCGGCGGCGCTGTCGTATTTCTCCTTCAGGAATTCTCCAACACGCCGGAAGTCGGCCAGCTGGAGCCAGCAGGTTTTCAAGCTGCACGAGCCTGAGACGCCATGACACTTGCAGGCCACATTCGCTAGATTATACACCGCCTTTAAGAGAGAGGGAGAGAGATTGAGGGTAGTTATTTCAATGAGCAGTGAACCAAAGAATACACACATAACAGGGATTCCAAACATGCACTAAAACTTTCATTGTCCAGAGTGAGTTTTTATATGACTGGTGAAATATACTGATGGTGTAGTTGTAAAAAGCAAGCACTGAAGGAGTAGATTTATGTTTTATTTTCATGGCATATTGCGGCTGTTTGTATTTGGTCTGCATGGTAAAATCAGTTGGCTAGCATAGGAAATTGTAAAAACATTTTGCTATATTTATGAATTAGGAAATTGAGCGATTGATAATATTTTGTCTAACCTTGTACACAATAAAATATATGTTTTACGGTATTATAAGCTTTGCATACCCTAAACCGGCTCTGTGATTTCATTTACTTCCGCATTCTTTAAATTTTAAAGGCCCGTACTGGCCCAATACCCCCATAAGTGGTTCTGTTCTCTCATCAGTTGAAATAGAATAACTTTTGCATAGATTATGATAGAGATATTTAGCTTTTTCCTATGTTTACTGACATGTGCAGGAACCACCTAAATTAATTACGGCGACCAACAGTAGACCACACAGAACCTAAAAGGTACACTTTCAAATTTGAGTTTACAAAAAAAGTGCTTCTTTTTTGGAGGGGTTTATTACAACATGGACAACATACACAATAATTTTTATTACTTTCGACAGTGTTTAATGAAAATTCAAAGGATTTTCTTTAAAATGATACCAAACATTTGCATTCACACTGCATGTGGATTTGGGAAGCTTTTGAATCTGGGTAGGCAAAATCGAGGTGGAAACCAAAATAGCACCCCAAAATAGACTTTAAGAGGTTAAATGAAACAATACTTTTTCTGCAGTCATTCTGACTAAAAGTGTTAGCTTTAATTTAATGTGTGTCATTGTTTTAATTGAAACAGAATTCAAAATAAATAACTTTTTAGTTCTTTAAGTTCATTTCTTTAAGTTCTTGTGAATAAAAACGGTTGAATTTCCAGCTTTTATTGCTACTTTTTCAAAGACAACACGAATAAATAAAAATCTCAAAGTGCCACCTTCTTATAAAATGAGCATTTTTTATACAGCCTCCTATGTTTATATACAGTTAGCTTATTATTCAGTTATTATGTTCAGTTATGGCGTCATGGTTTAAAACTCATAAAATATAAAGGTAAAAAAACCTGTCAACACAATTCTAGAATAACTATCAAACAATAAATGCATAAATCTGAAATGTGGAATTAATAAACGTTCTTACATGCATTCACATAAATATATATGTTACATATTGTTCACTGATTATGGGGTCAGTAAAACTGACAAGTGTTCATTTAAATGCTAGAATAATGCTAATCATTGTGATTTTTTAAAAGCATTCACTCTTGCAACCACAAACCTTTTCCTGATATTCATAGCAACAACACATAGTTTTAAATTCCACAATTAAAGACTTCCCAAAGCAGCAAAGTAAAAGTTTGACAGAACAACAGCGCCCTCTGGAGGGCTCCTGAGTCCAGCGCCCTGGTCTATAAACTGAACCTGCGGGGCCTCAGGAGGCCTTTGAGTTTACGGTCCCTTTACAAACAGTGAGAGCGTTTGGAGAACAATGGACTGAATAGTCATTCTGTTCTAGAACACACAGAGAGCCTTCCTGCTGAATCAATTCAATGAAACCCCCAGCTGAATCAATACACAGACGCTCGACATATTGTACTAAACCAGCAGCGGTTTTCCCTTTTCCTTTTTTAATTATTTTACTTGTATCATTAATAGACTTAGATCATTCTATGAAGTTGGTGCAGAAGCAGAAGGCCATATCAAATAAATATATATTTACACATTTTAGAGAAACTCTTGGCTAAAGTTCAGGATTCACTGAAATAACATAAAATGAAAGTCATCCATGTCACTTAAAAAAAAAGTAGACGGCACATAAAACAATTGAGTTGTTCCAAAAAAACCTCAAGAATTGTGTTGTTTTAACTTATTTTATATGTATTTCAAACAAACAGCAAACCTATTTTTTTTAGTGTAATAGCTAATGCACAAAAGCATGCTTCACACTGGGTCAGTTTTCATTTCTGTGTGGAGTTTGCATGTTCTCCCTGTGTTCACGTGGGTTTCCTCCGGGTGCTCTGGTTTCCCCCCAGTCCAAAGACATGTGCTTTAGGTAAACTAAATATAAGCTAAATTGTATGTAGTGTATGTGAGTGTGTGCAGGAGTGTGTGGGTGTTTCCCAAAGCTGGAAGGGCATCCGCTGCGTAAAACATATGCTGGATACGTTGGCGATTCATTCTGCTGTGGCGACCCCTGATTAATAAAGGGACTAAGCCGAAAAGAAAATGATTGAATAATTTACACTTCAAAAATGGTGTCAAACCTCATAAATGTTTGATTTTCAAAACTTATTTTATTATATGCCTAGTTTTTTAAGCATATTTAGGTTCATTATTTAAACAATCATGCATTTCCAATTCTCCAACTGTATTTATTTTATTTTATTCAGGGCTGATAAGGCTGATAAGAAATTAGAGGACACTGATAAAATCATTTTTAGAAATATAATGCATGATTCTCCCAAAAAAAAAAAAAAAAAACACAACACCAAGGCTAAACCAAGCCACAACAATGATTGAAATAATATTTATGTAACTTTAAGGCAGGACTCCACATTTTCCTCATTGTACACTTCAAGAAAGTTTAAAAAGCCCAAAATTTCACTATAACCAGCAGAATGAAAATTAATTATTTATTATTTATATGTTTAAATATTTGTTTCCCCTTATACTATCTTGACTGTATATTCTTGACTGTATCACTATTCCAAGTCTAAAGACTTCCTAGGGAGGACATAATAAATGACCCACAATACTTCTTCATTATTGAGGCTGTGTAGTTTTTCCTTATAGCCTTGAATTTATTTGATGTAATATTAATGAAAGACTACACTACAAAAAACTGTTAACTAACAGTGTCTGTATCTTATGATTCACAAGTGTTATTTACGGTTGTGAATTGAATTATAGAATCTTGATCTCTGCTCTCTCGACTTTTGATGCTGAAAAATCAACTTAACAAAGTGACTTTTACTGAGACTTATTAGTTTGAAATGATGCAATGTATAAGGAATGAACCGCCATCATATTCAGCATATGTTTTACACAGGGGATGCCTAATGAAAGACTCAATAAAAATATTATATCCTAAAATAACACTTCTTTTCTCATTTTTATCACAATTTCATGTCTAATAACTTTTAAGGAACACAATAGACAGGATTTAAAATGACCCACGATACACAATATCTCTTCATTAATGAGGCTGTGTAGTTTTTCCTTTTAGCCTTGATCAAATTTGATGAAAGACTACACTGTAAAAATATCTGTTAATTAACAATGGAGTGTTTTCCATTTATTTACATTTGTGAATTGCATTATGAGACCCTGATCTCTGATCTGCCAACATTTGATGTTGAAAATTCAACTTAATGACTTTTCATTGAGACTTCTGTAGTTTAAAATAATATAAAGTATAAGAAATGGGACCAGAATCGTACATCACTGTGCTTAACATAAAATCATAAGTACAGTAAATAAAAAGTATGTCATGCCACAAATGTCAAAAATGGGCTGATGGTTGATTTCTGTGAGTTGTTCTGTAAGGGAATATGTCACTCATTTGGTACTCAGAATTTTTTCTTTATTAAAAATACTTTGCAAATTTACAAACCCTGTCATTATCCTTGTCCTCAGCCCAATTGAACCTACAGTTTTATTTAGAAAAATAAAACTTCAGAAATAGTAAAGTTTAAGTTGTTATCATTCACGTCAGTTGATTAAAAACATGAAATTATAAATAAATTCCACAAATAATTGTACAATTGTCCCCATGTTTCGGACACAGATATGCATTAAATGTTAAATAAAATGCGTGCAATACACTTTTAATGCTATGAGGAGAAGCTGACAGTGATCAAGGAGGCCTTCTATCATTGAATTGTATGATTTTAGGCTTGTTTTTGATGATTTTTAAAAGAAAGACAAGCTTAAAGTTTGGACCCTGTCACATTTTTTTTTATTAAAATGTAAGTTTCTGGAAGAATGTCCTATATGAAGAAGTAAGTCTTTAAAATATCAGAAAATGTACAGGCAGTTTATTACAAGGTTTTTGTTCCATAATTTACAACACCAACTGAGACAATATTCCACTTTATACTATTAAAAATGTTAATAAACGTCTCTTTTTCAAACATTTCAAGGTTAAAAGTTGTTGGAAGAACGATTGAGGTCCCACAATGCAATTTAAATCATAAATATACTGTTAATTTACGGATATTATTTCATATAGTCAAATAACCCTTTGCCTTCCGATTGCATAGATTTCCATGTCTAATAACTTCTTAGGGAAGCAAAAGACAGGATATAAAATGACCCACAATACTTCTTCACTATTGAGGCCGTGTAGGCTATAGGCATTTTGGTTTAGTGTCCTGAAAGAGGGCAACATTAAAGACATTTCTCAGTGTGTTTCTCTGTCATTTAGCAGCTCCTCCCTTTAACACCTCACGTGAGAACACTTAACGGTGGTCTTCAGCAGCTGTTTAATCCTCCTCCTTTTTTTTTTACCTGCTCGCACACAGACATTAAGGGGAGTTCCAGCACCTTTCAAGTCTCTGTCATCACCGGCCCATCCTGCATACCTGTCTGCAATCCAGAAACAACACACACAGTTGTTTTTTCATACTATCTCGCGTGTCAAGCTGCAGTTCCGCTATTTCGTCCCAATAAAGGCTTTGTGAGCAACATGTGCGTCCAACTGGAAAAAAAAAGCCGCGGCTTCTTTCTTTTATTCTGCATCTCCTCCTCTGCTTTTCTCTTTTTTTGGTCAAAGTGGTCAAGGTGTGATGGATGGACGGGTTCATTGGAGCGTTTTGAGGACACGCATGCGGAGCGCAGCACAATGGGACGGGGTCAGGGGCGTCTG